ACAATCAAGTGTTCTGGGATTCCCATTCTTCTCAGAGTTAGCCACAGTTTGTTATGATCCACACAGTAAAATGCCTTTGCATGGTCAACGAAACATAGACAGACATTCCTCTGGTACTCTCTGCTTTCAGCCAAGATCCATCTAATATTCGCTATAATATTCCTTCTACCACAACCTCTTCTAAACCCAGCCTGCACATCTGACAGTTCTCTGTTTATGTGTTATTCAAATCATTTTTGGACAATTTTCAGCAGAATCTTGCTTGCAAGTACTATTAATGATATGCTTCAATATTTTTTACATTCTATCTAGTCACCCTTTTTTTGGAATGGGAACCAATATGGAACTCTTCCAGTCAGTTGGCCAGGTGGTTGTTCTCCAGATTTCTTGATACAACTTGGTGAGCACATCCAGAGCACCTTCTGTTTTTTGAAATATATTAATTGGTATGCCATCAATTCCTGGGATTTATTTTGTGTTAATTCCTTCAGAGCCGCTTGAACTTCCTTCATCACAAGAGGCTCTTGCTTATACGTTTGTTTCATGAAATTCTTCTGTGTCAGCTGATTCCTTTTAGTACAGTGACTCTGTATATTCCTTCCATATTCTTGTAATGCTTCCTGGATCATTTCATATTCTACCCAAAGCATCCTTAAGTATTGCAGCTTGAGGCTTGAATTTGTTCTTCAGTTCCTTCAGCTTAAGAAATGTCAAGAGAGTTTGGCCCTTTTGATTTTCTGACTCCAGCTCTTTGCACATTTCATTACAGTACTTTGTTTCAGCTTCCCTTGCTGCCCTTTGAAATCTTCTGTTCAGCTCTGTAAGTTCTTGATTTATTCCCTTTGCTTTGGCTTCTCAGCATTCTAGTGCAATAGTCAGAGTCTCTTCTGACATCTAACTTGTTCTTTTCTTCTTCCTCTGTCTTTAAAATGACCTTTTGAATTCTTCATGGATGATATTTTGATATTCCACCACAGTTGATCTGGTCTTCACCCATTAGTGTTCAAGACCTCAAACCAGTTCTTAAGATGGTTTTGAAATTCAGGTAAAATAGACTCAAGGTCTAATTTTATTTCCTGTAGATTTAATTTAACCTTCTTTAGTTTCAGCTTGAACTTGCATATTAGTTGTTGATGGTCTGTCCCACAATCAGCACCTGGCCAGGTTTCACAGATGATATTGACCTTCACTAGCAATTATTTCCACAGATAAAATCAATCTGATTCCAATTTGTACCATCAAGTGAATTACATGTGAATAGTCCGTGTTTATGTTTCTTATAAGAAGTAATTGCAATGAATAAATCACTGATTTTACAGAATTCTATCATTCTATCTCTAGCCTCATTTCTGTCACCAACTCCATGTTTTCAGACTACTGATCCTTCTTTCCTGTTCCCAACTTTTGCATTCTAGCCACTCCTAATTATTAATTCATCTTGATTGTATGTTGATCAATTTCTGATTGCAAAAGCTGGTAGAAATCTAGATTTCCTTCTTTTTGGCACTAGTTGTTGGTACGTATATTTGAATGATAATGGTATTCATTGGGCTTCCATGTATGTGTATAGATATTATCCTGTCACTCAACACTGTATTCCAAGATGGATCTAGAAATGACTTTTTAATGATGAAAGCAACCTCATTTTTGACCTTTTCATCTCCAGCATAGTAGGTCATATATTGTCTGATTCAAAATACCCCAGGCCAATCCATTTCATTTCCCCAAAACCTAGTGTGTCAATATTTATGCATTACATTTTCTTAACAACGTCCAATTTTCCTACATTCATGCTTCTCACATTCCATGTTCCAATCACTAGTGTCTGTTTACAACTCTTCCTCCTCCTTTGTGTTTCTGTATTTGAGAGCTCAGTCTCAGTTGCCATATCTGCTAGTCTACTCTAACTGTGCTTTGTTGTACATAGGGTTTTGCAAGGCCTATTATTTTGGAAGTGAATGGCCAATTCTTTTTCCTAGTATGTCACAATATGAATGTTCAGCTTTAGAACATTATCTAACAGACAAGCATTTCACAGAAAGGAGCAGATGAAAGTCACTTCCCAATTACAGAAGCGACCAATAGATTCAGTGTAGCTCCCCACCCTTGACATGTGTGTCTTGATTCGTCCCTTTCCCTGCTCCACCAGGGTTCCCTTCCACTTCCACCTACCCCATTTGACACCCCTCCCCCATCTAGTCCTGGATATGATAGCTTAGGTCTCAAGCCTTCTGTGTTTCTATGATGCCTAATGTCTCACACTGCTGCTGGTTTCTTATGTTGCGGCAAGTCTCTCTTGGATTTAGGAGTCTCTAAGTCCAAATTCCAGGTACTGGTGTAAGGGAAGATTTCTATCTCAGATAGTTCCGAGGAAAAGTCTTTTGCCTTGAACTCCTGCTCCAGACTTACTTCTTGTAACGCCTCTTCTCTTCCATTTGCAGCACACTGCTCTCACAGTAGGATAATTTTCCAGAAGAAGGTGATGTGTCCTCTAAGTCTGGTATATAAGTGTTGTCTTCTTACAGGCCTTCAGGCCTCAAACTAATTAAATATACAGGTCCTGCCAGTTAGGACCACAGAGTTGTTTTCCCTCCCTTTCCCAGAATAGCCAGTGACATGATCAAGCCACTGGAAGCTGCAGCTGTAATTCTGTTTATCTCTATTAGAGCTACAGAACTACTCTACCATCCTTTCCAAGGTTAAACTATCTAAGATTGTCCCCACACCCAGTCTGTTCCCTTATCAACAGCTGCCTACATCCCCTCTCCAAATTTCCTTGTAAGACAATATAAAATTCCACTCGAATAAGTAGCTTCTGGTCTCTAGAGTCAGCCTGGCAGTTACTCCTCAATAAGCTTTCTTGGCCTGAACTGAAACTGTCTTTCTGTCCTTCCTAGGTGACCTTCCATTTCTAGCGCTGAATATCTGGGAGGACCTCCTGCCAGGAGACAACAAACTCTGATTCCTTAACTTTCCCTATTTCTCTTTCTCTCTCTCAATCTCTACCTCCTTGTAAGCCTAACACATAGAAGCTCAGTGGAGGCCCATAAGTGACCTGCACTTCCTATTGCTACATGAAACAAGACAGGAATCTGCCCTGATTCCATATGTGATTCTCTGGAAACTCCATGAAATTGGCTTGCATCTCTCCTCTATGTAGCCTGTACCTCTCTCCTGGCCTAAAGGCACTTAGGATATGTTAGATTGCCTAATTCTTTCAAATTCTCCATGAACTTGACCTGCCTCCTGACTGTCCTTCTTTGGACTTTTAAGAGAATGTCCTTCTTTGAGGCTTTCTGTCTCTTGTCATTGCTGGCCTTCAAATGACACCAGACCAATTTGGGGTGATTAGTGCATGGTTCACCTATCTCTCCTCTCCTGCTCTCTTTGGCCTCTAAAAGTCCTAGCACTAGGCCAGGTAGATCCCTTGGCCACCTGAGCTGGTGTTTGCAGATCTTGGAGATCCCCATTCCGTGAGCAGACTTTCATCTTGTTAATACAAAAGGAAAATAGTGATTGTGTTTTCCCTTAAGTCTCTCTCTTTCTCCAGAAGCCCCACTCTTTATCTCCCTCCTCAATCTTGGGAGCCTGCCCTTCTTGGTACACTCCACTGGCACGTCTCCTCTGCTCCCTTGATACTTTCTTATTACAAGAACATGACATGACCACAATAGCCCCAAAACGGTACAATCTATTTCAACCTCTGAGACTTCGACAATTTCTTCTAATGTAATGGCAAATGTTCAGAAATCTCCAAGTTCAGGCTTTCTTTGTTCTTTGCTCTTTATCAAAACTGCCATATTTATCAAATTCTTTTAGCTCTGTCTAAGCTCTCTTCCCTTCCCCCAAAAAACTGCTCTCACTTTTAATCTCTCTGATCTCTCAGCACCCCTGTCTCTCCCACACCCCCACTTCTGCCATACACAAATGTTACCTTATAACAGGAGGCCTCCTCCAAGTCCTCCACATTATCACCAATATCAAATGGATCTTGGCTGAAAGTAGAGAAAATAAAAAAGAATATCTACTTGTGCTTCATTGACTGTGCAAAGGCATTTGACTATGTAGACCACAACTAGCTGTATTTAACCTTGAGAAAAATGAGAATGCACACTAAAACCTCCTCTCCCTTTATCCTCCCCTCCAGCCTCTGATACTCACTCTCTGTTGACCCCACCCACCCAGATCCAGCCAGGAACTGCAGCCAAAATTTTTTCACTCTCCATTTTTCTGTTTCTCATTCTTTACTCATCCTGTTCAGTCTTTTGGCCTCCTAGTTAAAAAAAGAGATCTTAAAAAATTTTCTGCAACTAAAATATTACTGTCTTCCTTTACCAGCCCTGATCTGCAAATAGCACATCACCTCCCCTCCTTCTCTGATCCCAATTCACCATACCATCCTCTCAAGCACCCCAGACCAAAACACACAGGCATATTCACCAAGCTGCTCTACCCCTCCCCACCCTCAAGTAGCTGCTGCTACAGCTACAGGGAGTGGCAACAACAAACAAACAAAAAAGTTTGCAAAGATAAGCCTACACACATTCATAGGGATTTTTTTTTCCCAGCTTTGATTAAAATAAGTTTAAAATTTTTGTTTTGTTGCTCTTTTCCTTATTTTCAACCCACCTTAAATTTTCAGCTAGAGTTCAAAGTAAAAAAAAAAAAAAAAAAGTTTTCCAAATTTAAAAAACCCTGCAATGTTTAAAATTAATTACTTTAGACCCTAAGTCTCATGAGTGAAAAAGACCAGTAATAAATTCTAATTTTATCAATCAGTCTGCCCCGATATTAAAAAAAAAATCCTCAATAAAAGCTTTAGGCCACCAAAGACTCAACCTAATTTTTAAACTGGTGTTCTTTCCATATTCAACAATGAAACTTTGGAAGAGGAAAAGAAGGACTGGCTAAAAGCCAAATTTCTTAAAACTGCGATCACAGACCTTTTCACTCAGCAAATGTGTCAAAAAAATCTCTCAATTCCAAGGCTTTTGCGTCCAATATGGAAAACCTCATCATGGTCACTATTGCACCCAGTAATGAGACACTCACTCTCTTTTAGATTCGAAGCCTTTTTGCCTTGGCCAGGGTTGTCATCTCCCATAAAAAGACAAGAGAAAACAATAACCCCTTACCAAGTCGCCAGATATTTTATATATTTCAAAGCAAGTTCTATCAGTGGTACCAGCTTTTTGCACTAGTTTATCAGCACATGCAAGTGTTTTTACAGAAGCCAAAACAAGTACAATTAAAAGGAAAACAAAAATCAAAATTTTTTAGGAGGGAAGTTAGCAAGGCTTAATATGGCAGTACTCATGTCAAGCTGGCAATCTCATGGTACTTTAGTCACGTAAACCATAAATATCAAGAGTTGCTTCAAGAAAGTAGAAGAACACATGGGAAGCCTCCTGCCACCTGCTTTCAATAAAGTTCTCATAAACATCTAACTCAGTAATGCCCCAGGCAAGTCTTGGTAGCAGAAGAGCAATCTGACTGATAGGGTCCTAGCTCTCTCAGTGCCACAACGAGTGATCAATACAGCATTACCATATGCCTGGGGAAGCCTTGAGTATGCATGGATATTGCCGGTAAGACAATGCACTTTCTTGTCAACATTAATTCAAAAGCATTACAATCTTTTAATAATCTTCTTTTCCCTCCCCCAACTTACTATTATAAACATTAAAACAAACCAAAAAACCTTCAAATAAATATCAAACCCCCCTGTTAGACTGTATATAAAATAGGATACTATTTTCCTATCAATTTCTAGTTATATCTAAAACCCTGTAACTCTTATTAAAAAGAGACTTGTTATCAAAAACAAATACTAAAGTTCTTTTTCACTCTAATATTTCAAATAGTATTAAAAAGTAATTATTCAATGCCAATAAGTCTTAATATGCCCCCAAAGTGAAGAAGTATATAGCCAGCTGTTTAAGGTTATAACTAACCTTTAATAACAAACTTTCTCCTAAAAGTATACAAAGCTTAGTACCCATCAAATAAAAGAAACTCACCCAGCCAATTAACTTACAAACCCTCATAAAACATTTCTAAATACCACCTTTCAAGTTCTAAGTCATACGAGCCCAACCGTCACTAAAAACTGTTAACTTTGCCTCGTCCTATGGCAGAAAGTAGTCACAGCCAACATGTTTCACATCATTGGAATTCAGATAATAGCACCTTGAACCCCAACAAAGTAACTCTCATAAGTCAATTACCAGTCAATATAATCCTTCTTCCTAGCTAAAATGTTATCTGCCTACTTTCAATTAACAGAACAATAACAATAAGAAGTGTTTCCCCTCTTATTGTAATCACACCATTTACTTTTCAAATAATGTTATTCATTGTTCTACCTCGGTATTCTTCATCTGTGGCAACTCAGCTTACCAATACTTGCAGACCAACTAAACTGGAGTCTGTGTATGTGCCTTTCTCATTCCCCAAATCTCTATACTCACCAATCCAAAATTCTCTATCCCCACCCACATAAAAAAATGAGCCATCATTGCCCCAGTACTTCTAAAAGCAAGTCTTACAGCAGCCATAGAAAACCAGATAAAATTTTTCTTCTCTCTTGAAAGTTAATGACCCTAGCTTCTCCTCACTCTTGGCCCTCTTACAATCATTATCTTAATCTTAGTGTTTGGGCCTTGCTTCATGCAGTTTCTCTCTAGTTTTCTTCTAGTTTTGCCAACCATACAGTCTGTGAACTCCTCATATTATCAAAAGGATACCAGTCATTACCCTCTGTCATCGCATCTGCTTACTCTGCTGCCCCAAATCAACAGTCTTTCTCACCTTTAGATTGTCACCCTCATCCAGCACTTAGTAGTTACAGAAAAGAAGCTCAATGGCTCAAATCACATAACAAAAGGCTGGAATGTTAAGGCTGTGGAGTTGCTCTCCAACCCATTCCAAGGATAGCCAGCAAAATGATCAAACCACAAAAAGCAGCATTGTAACTGTTTATCTCTGCTAGGGTTGCAAAACTATTCCACTTCCATTTCCCAGGAACCACTATCTACAACCCTGGACCTGTTCCCTTATCTTGTAAGAAACAGCTGGCTACATCCCCTCTCCCAATTTCCTTGTAAAACAACTCTAAGTAGCTGTTAGTTTCTACTTTAGAGTCAACATCAATAAGTCAGTTTCTCCTCAATAAACTGTCTTTCTTGGCCTGAACTGGGTGATCTTACACTGCCTTCAGGAATTCTGGGACTGTGGGCATACCTGAGCTGGATAGGACCAAGTGAATTTGATCATACAATATTATTTTATTTTAGAGACTGATTATAGACTTTTGTGGGATACCGTGGTGGTATAATGAATAGGGAGTTGGGTTTCCAAGCCAAAGGCAGGTATTTTCAATACGTCATCTTCTCCACAGAAGAAAGTTGGGCAATCTCTTAATACTCATATAATTTACCGCCTGT